CCCCTCTAGCGACTCCCCTTTGCAGCGGATGCCTGGATAGTGCCTGGGTGCCCGGAGCTGGGGTTGCTTGTGTGACACCCGAATGACAGTGACCCGTCACGGCCTGTCTTGGAAATCAGCTCAGAGCGGGAATGCCACGATCCACATTTTAAAGAGGATTTGGGTTTTCTTTCACTCTTGTAGCACTACGTGGCCCTTTGGCTTCGGCCGAGGCGAGACTCAATGTGACGCGTCTTGACGTGTCCCTGTAAGGCACCTTCTTTCTCGTGAGCTGATTTATGGGAATTGTAGCCTGTGCAGGGAATGGTTTCGGTGAAGGGGATCATTTCCTGCAATACAAGCAGGCCTTTGCGAGCCTGGAGCTGGGGGCTAATCCAGCTTTCCTGAAACACTTCCCGTCTCGATGTAAAGCCTGTGCTTGAGGATGAAGCTCCTCGGAAGCTCTTCCAGCCGTCAATTACCCTTTCTGCTAATAAGCTCCGTGAAATTTCCAACCTGAGTTTTCTAGCATTAGTTTCCAGTCATTGCAATACTAGCCAGGCAGGTCACGCTATGTAAATATACCTAATTAGCCCCTTAAACCCAGCAATTCCTTACACCAGGGATAGTCTCACCTCTTTTTGGTAGCTGTCGCTGTCACGGGGGATGGAATTAGGACTTACTCTATCTTAATTGAATTAACTTTTGCCGGGGAGTTCGGCTCCATGTGGATGGAGTCTCAGCAGGCTCCGTGTTTACATGGACACTTGGAAGCCAGGGGGAAAAATGTGGCCCTGGGCTGGGGAGGCTCCTGAGCGAGCAGGAACCTGGACACGAGTACCCCAGACTCCAGCAGTTGTCTGAGTCTCTGCGGATCTTTATTATGATCTGTGTGCTACTGTCACCAATAAATAGCTGTCATTGTAGTAAATACAGTACGCTTACAGTGTTTGCTGTTGTTTTTTCTTAAAAAAGAATATTGTACAACAAAATTAGTGAGAAGAAAACGGTCCTGCTCCTGTGCAGGGAGGGTTGCTATGGATGGGGAAAGCTTTGCTGCTTTATTGCAGGTGGCATCAGAGACCCTCCTTGGTCCTAAGGAGCCACCCAGCTGCTCCTTGGGCGACGCCGTGGGAGCCCTGCTGTAAATCAGATGTTCCTGGTTCCAACCTGTGCAGTTTGGGGATGGATTTAGCCCAGATGACCTAAAAGCAGAAGTGCCGTGTTCAGCACGGTGAAGGTTGGTAGTGTTGGGTGGGAGATGGTCGTGTTAAATATGAGCATTTGGGTGGGAGATGGTCGTGTTTGATACGAGTATTTGGCCTCTTGTTGAGAGGCTCGGGGCACTTCACACTGTTGCTCACTCCTTAGAGCATCCTGTAGAGGTCTGTGGTACTAAAGGGCAGGGAAAGGGGTCCTGGAGACAGGGACCCGTCCTGTGGTTCTGGGACTCAACCCCGGCTCCTGCAACTCGGTCCCTAGAGCAAACGCTCAGATTCTTTCGAACCACCAGGTTCTGGTAAATACGCAGTGACCAGCCCGGGCCTTTTCAGAAAGGGAAACTGAGGCAGAGAGGGGTGAAATAGTTGCTCGGAGCTGTAGATGGAGTCACCTTTTTGAGTGCATGCATAATGCTTAAAATACTGCGAAAACTAAGCAAAAAAATAAGTTGGAAGTGGAAACATGGGTTTAAAATGTGTATTGATGATGCTACTGGATCTCAAACATACCATTTTATCTTTGCAAAGAGGAGGCATACCTCACTTCAAGCCATTTAACATTCAAAGGGATCTACTTGTAAGTCATTAAAGGTTTTAGAAAATGTTCTCTGTGGATTTTACATATTAGAATATTTGCAAGTCCATTTGCAACACAGAGCACTGCCAACTGGAACATCTGAACTCCAGCTCATGTAATTTCTCCCTTCTTTCGTAAAATGTGCCTGTGATCCAGTTGAACGAAGAGTTGTATGGAAAATACGTCAACCTTCTCAGGTTGCAAATTGCTGCTATTTAAAACCCCGTGGCTTTGCAGCGTTTGGATGCCCTGCTCACCACGTTGTTTTAAAGCACCTTGCTTTCCAGCACTGCAAAGTTAAGTGAAATGAACGGGGCCACGGTTTTTGCCAGACACATTTGGAAGTGTCTCTGAGAGCAGGGTGAGCAAGAAGCGTTGCACAGCCGTGTGGTCAGACCCAGACGATGCTGAATCCCAATCCTTGGGTTTCGTGAGCTTTTCGCTGCTGCAGAGTTATCCCGTGGTGCTGCCTTGCAGAATATCCAAGAATATCCAATTGCAGCATCAGGTCCGACTCCTGCCTCTGCATCTGGCTTTGGTGCAGGCATTTCATGCACGTCCTTTAATCCTCCTGCTTTTGTCTGCTCCTCTGCCCAGGAACGTCCCTTCCGTGGGGCTGCTGCGAGTCACCCACCCTGCTTGGAGCTGCAGGCAGATGATACCTCCTAAATGTCCTCATCGTGGCCAGCACTAGCTCTGCATATCGATCAGGTAACTGTTGTCCAAGCCCTAATTTGCTATGTTTTGGGGCTAACACTGAATTCCTGATTTTCCCTTTATCATTTGTGGGAGAAAGGTTGATGGCCCAGCAAGAGGGAGGTGACGAGATAACAAAAATGCCGAACTAGTAACAACAGAAAAACTTTTGCCAAAGAAGCTTCCAAACATCAATAAAAAATATTTTAAAATCTTCAAAAACTTAAATCATATAAAAATATAATTTATACTTTGACGTTATTCCTAAAGCAGTGTTACAGCCTGCTGGAGGGCCCAAGGGGGTGATTCCCAGTGGATCTGCAGGGTGATGGGGAGCATTTGTGGGCAGGGACTGGGGCTGCTCTGCATTGTACCAGTGGGAGCTGCCAGCTTTTTTTCCCACTTTATCCCAGGGTTTATTTGTAACAGAAGCTGTGAAGTGCTCTTGCTTTTTCCTGCAGCTCTCCTCTAAACATTTAGACGTTTTCCTCAGGTTTGTTTTCCCTCTCCTGTCTCTTACAGCATTTCTCATTTGCTGAACCCTCCTCGTGCTGGTCCCTCCTTGCCGCAGGTTGCAGCAGGTATGTACAATAGCACACAGCTGGGAAGCTGGGGATTTACACATCTAAGCTCTTAAGTGCTCACTGGGGTCCAGGACGGTAGTTTTAGGAAGATTAGCCCGAGCAAGCTGTCCATGACCCGCGTGTGAGCGCAGGGCCAGGCTGGAGACGAGCTGCACCTCGTAAACAAGTGCTGGTTCAGGCTGCCCTGCTCCCCTCTGCTCCCTCGCTGCGTTAACAGGGCCCTGGTTTCGTTAACGTGTCCAAGGAGGCGCCAGGGACATTGGAGGCTCCCTGTGCTATCCCGGCGGGATCAGCTCTCCGTAGCCAGGAAAGAGGTGGGAGAATCCTCCCAAACCAGCCTGCTCAGTGAGGTTGGACAGGGCAAGGAATTGGTGTTTAGCTCATAAGCTTGCGTCATTCGCCTCCCATTGCACAATGTGCAAATGTGGCTCTTTGTTAGATAAATATCTGAAGATAAAGCTTTTTAGGTCAGCTGTGGTGGAGGAAGGTAGAGGTATCCCTGGAAGAGCTTGGGAACTAACCAGCACACACTGCAAATCATCTTCTCCTTAACTTTGGTTGTTTGATTGTTCCACCATGAGACACGTGCATTTTAATGGGCAGCAACTATTCCCCAGCCCTTTTAGGTACTGGTGCTCCTCAATCTCCCCATACATCTTTGGGGTATCAGCTCCGAGCCTGGAACCCGAAACCCAGCCTGACTTCTTGGTTGCATCTCAGTCGCGGTCCCAAGTTGAGGCTGGTGCTTTGACTACATGGAACCATTTATAGTGGGGAGATGAGTTTGCCAGAGTCCAGATTTTCATTGTTGCCTCATTGGAAGCTTCCTTGAGTCTCCAATTCCTGTTTAAATTATGGAATATTCTTTTTTTTTCCTTCCTTAAGATCCTCTCTCTACTTGCAGAAGTTAAAAATCTGGAAACCTCCTTATCAGCTGGTTCATTCTCTCCGAATTGGTGCCTGCTAGTAGAGCATCACCTTTGCTTATCCCTCCTCCCCAGGCAATAAGAAAAGAAGCAAACAATATAACAAAAACACCCCCAAAGCATACGGGATATGGGTAATATTGAACATTGCACCTCACAGCATCACAGTTGATAGGAACAACAGGCTGCGGACGCAAGTTAACACCAGTGTCATTAAAAAAAAGATTTTCACCATTTAAACTCTTATATTCACCCGTCTCCTTCAGGAGGGAGATCAGTTTCTCTTGTGGCTTTATCTCCTTGAGCTGGTTGCTGCAAAATTTGGCTCGTATTATGGGAAAACAAATCCTGTCCCGTAATTCCTTAGAGATGGCTGGAATTGGGATTGGTATGAAACATGCCGATGGCTTTGAAATCTTCAGTCCCCGTCCTCCCTCTCCCCCCGCTCCACAAAATACACTGTACATATTAAAAAAAAAAAAAAGTCAGGTTGAGCAGTCTGATTATTTTAGTACATGGCTTCATAAGGCAGAAAACCTGCTGGATACAGTGTAGGGGACAGTCGGCTCTCAGCATTCACGTAGAAATAATCTTTGCTTTGCTCATTTCTTCAAAAATGTTTTGCTTGGTTAAAGACCCATATCTTGTATGAAATCTCATATTCTTCAGAAACAAAAAATGGGTGTTTCTATCTTCCTCCCTTAAAACAATATTGTCAAATCCTTTCTCCGTAGCGCCGCTGTGGTACAAACTCGAAGGTGGAGTCGCCAAATGCCAAGTAGTTGCCCACCAGCTTTGGAGGAAGCACGTGCCGGAGTCCTGGTCACGGTGACAACCATCAGAGCCCCAGGTAGCCCATCAGGGCCAGCATGACCAGAGAGTTAGTTGTAATGACGACCGCGTGTGGCACTGGCTTGGTCACAGAGTCCTCCACCATCATGCTGGTGCCTGAAAGAAAAGGAGCAAGGAAGGAGCAGGTGTGATGTGGCACTCGTGGGGAAAGAATTGGGAGGATTGGTAAAATGGTCGTTCTGGGAGTGCTGTGTGCTCCTGTTGTGTTTGTTACTGATGAACTCCCGGGGACACCGGGGGAATGGAAATGGAAAAGGATAACCCTGGGCTCAGTGATGGAGAGGGATGCGTTGGAAGATCCTTTAAGTGAAGGATGTGAGGGAAACAAAGACTAATACCAGAAACCCAATATAAAACGCTGGGGTGGGATGTTCCCCCATGTTCTTAGAATGGAAAGTGGGATTTTAAAGCATAAAGGCACTTATAGTACCATGGTGGCCAGGTCTGGGGTTATGACTGAATCACTATATATCAAAGAACTGGGGTAGGAGATGGCAGGTAAGTGAGCAGTCCTTACAATTAACTCCTCTATCCGAGCTGTAAATATCCTGTAAATGAGAGTTGGTGCAGAGGATGCGCAGCCGGGGAAGGAGCACCCCTACGTACCACTGTTCCTGAGGATGTGAACTTCTGTTGGGACCCCGTCCCCTCCAGGCCCGGTCACCCTGAGCTGCACGAAGGCATGGGTGAAGTCTTCAGGGATCGGGATGTCGATCCGGCTCTTGCTGGCCACGTAGAGCGTGGGAGCAGAGTGGGAATCCTTCCTGTAAAGCATCTGTTGGAAGAGGCAAATTTGAGTTGATGCCCACTGGGATTTCCCCAGGGACACCCATTAGAGACAGTCTGCCACGTGTTGCCCGTACCTTGTACCCTGTAACTGCAGACTCGTCTGCCTGTGCCACCACGGGGTCCCACTTGATGCTGACGGTAGACCCCGAAAAAGTCCAGGAGATGTTGCCCGGTGGCCTCCTTGGTGCTAAGAGATACAAAGCGGGACAGATAGTGAGACAGGGAGCTGTGAGAAGGTTGTTGCAGTTACAACTGTCTCCAGGGTCACTATTTGAGAGAGTTGGTGGTGCTGCCATTGGCTGTTTAAAATATAAACCAAGCGTCCTACAGAAAAGAAGGAAAAGCACTTATATTCACATACAAAATAATGACATTTTCTCCACGTGGGGCTCAAAATATTTCTTTATGGCTGCGACTGGGCACAGATCTTCTCAGGAAAGTGATGCACAGCCCGCAAGGGTGACCTGGGGAAATCCCGGGAATTCTGTTTCCCTGGCTTTAGAGGACGGGGCTATAAAAGCTGCTCCGTTGGCTGGTCATTGCATGAGCTGCCCTTGGAGACCAAGGAGACCCTTGGAGACCTGGAGGAAGCGCCTGCCCGGGGCAGCACAAGGTGCAAACGTGGGTGCTTGGGGTCACTCACGTGGCTTCGTCGTGGTGGTGTTGGCAGAGGGGCTGGGGGGCCCGGTGCCGGCGCGGTTGTAAGCTCTGACTGACACGTGGTATTTGGTGTTGGGGTTTAGGCCTGTGACGTGAGCGGATGTGACCAGTCCTGCTGTCCTCACTCTGTCAGCAGCCTCCTCTTTATCGCCGTCCTTCCAGTACCGGATCTAAATAGAAAAGAGTCAGGTGGGTTCAGGGAGGATGAAGTGGGTTCAGTAAGGATAAGACCCCTGCAAACGCCTGCGCCGCTCCATCCAAGGCCAGGGCTGGAGACCCTTTGGTTTTTGTTTGTGTGTCTTGCTCAGCATGGGCCTAGGAACAAAATTACAACCCGCTTGGAAAGGCAGGTAGGTACGAGTGGATATTTCTCTTGCTAATCTCTCTTGTCAGCAATAATGCTGGTCCCACTGGGGCCTTGTGCTGTCACCCTCCTTCGTCTTTGGAAATCCTCTCTGTCTCTGAGATATCGAGGTGTTTGCTGCTCAGGGCTCTGCTCCGAGGCTTTGTGTCCCTTGGTGCAGTGACAGGTCCTACCTCGTAGCCCAGGAGCACTCCGGTCATGTCTCCCTGCTCAACAGGCTCCCAGGACACGTCCATCTCGGAGGACAGGACGGCCTTGGCGGTGACTCGGGAAGGAGCCACTTTCGGTTCTGAAAAAGCCAAGAAGAGGGAGTAAACCCCTTTTCCTGGGTGCAGACAGCACTCCTGGAAGCGGAGGCTGGATGGCAGCGCCGTTGTCCCACGGCTGGACAGAGCCCTGGGGACAGGAGGTCCCTGCTGTCCCTCCTCACCTTCCTCTGCAGAGTACACGATGGCCGTGAGGCTCTCCGGCCCCTCTCCCTTCCTGTTGTACGCCCTGATTTTCACCTCGAACGGGGTGTAGGGCCCGATGCTCTCGTTGCGGTAGACGTAGTGCAGCGACTCGGCGTGCGGCACCCTGGCGCTGAGCCAGCCCTGCGTGCCCTTCTTGCGGAACGACAGGATGTAGCCGAAGCCGTCGCCGTTCTGGTAGTCCCGCAGCGTCGGCTGCGAGCGGGGCAGGAGCACAGGGGAGCCGTGGGGTCAGCATTTCCATGCACAGCAAAGGAAATCGTCCCCTGCGTGTCCCCCCAGGTCGCAGCTGTGCAAATCCCCTTGCAACAAGCAGGATTTAGGGATGCTGCTAAACCCCAGCTTTGGCTCGATCCCACCCCGCGGTTGTACCTGCTGTGTTGGTGTCCCAAGAGGAACGAGGTGATTCCTCCCCTCGCTTACCGTCCAGTTGATGATGAGCTCGTTGGGAGCCCCTCCGCCTCCGCTGAGCCCGGATGGTGCCACGGTCGGTGCTGTTGGAGTCCCAGAAGGGAAGAAGAAGCAGAAAAGGTTGGTGATGGCCATAAGCTGGACACTGCCAGGCCTGGGATTAGCCAGACTTGGACGTGGTTTACAAAAATGCTGGCTCCCGTGCACCTGCACAGTGGCCTAGAGCACCAGCTTGTCCCCGGTTGAGTTTATTTGGAGACAGCATTTTGCAGAGTATAGGAATCAAGCTCCAAAGCAGGAATATGTGGGAGAGCTTTTATTAGAAAGGAATTAATATGCGTCCCATATGTTCAGAGCATTCCTCTTGCTGTTCTCACATCCCTTCTAATTACACGTTCGAGCAGCACTGGATACCATCTCCTTAGCAGTAACAGCCATTTAATGGGAAACTCACTTTCTTTTAGCAATATAGGGCTTCCAGGCATTGCTGCTCAGAAGCTGCAGCGCTTGAGACTGGGACTGCTCTTGATTTTTACAACTGACATGTTATAATAGTTTCATATATAACAGCTAATGCTGTTAAAGTTGGCACTTTTTTGATCTTTGATATGTAAAATGACCCCAGATTTTGTGGTATCTACCTACCTGCTTCTTTGGTACGGATTTTGCTGGAGGGCAAACTTGGTTCCCCAACTCCAAGGATGTTACTCGCTAGAACCCGGAACTCATAGTCCATCCAAGGGATGAGGTTCAGCACCTGGGCTGTCTCTGCATTGCCCTCGATATTGGCAGGATCTACATAATCCAATAACATGAGAAGGAAGCAGATAGAGCAAGCGGCAGCCAGCGGATGCAGAGTAAGAACTTGCCAAGAGGTGACACCCAAACCCTTCCGCTGTGGCCCCGGGGACACTTACTGGTCCGTGCCTGTTTCCACTTGCCGGAGAGCAGCGTCCGGGCCTGGACGAGGTACCTGGCAATCGGGCTGTGGTTGTCGAAGCCGCGGCTCCAGCTCAGCTGGACACTGGTGTCACTGATGTCCCTCACCACCACCCCACCCGGCGGGCCTGGAGGTCCTGAGATGGTGGCAGACGGACAGACGTTATTTTTATGACAGCAATTTGGAGGTTTTTTCGCACTTTAAATTCTCAAAGTCATAAATTAAGATCAGGTCCCTCCTCTGGAGGGTAGGTCTCACCTCAATCCTCAATTTTTGCCCTTTTTTAGAGCTTTTGAGATCTATCCCATCCAATTCAAGTGCTAGGTCACCAGGGAAGATGGTGCTAAGACCTTGCGAGGTCTATCCTGCTGCTTTGGGCTTACGAGGAGCAGGGAATTTACCTCTCACGGTCAGCATTGCTGACTCCGAAGCACTGTCCACCACGGTCTGCGCTGTGCACGTGTAGCGCCCCGAGTGCTTCAGCTGGGCGTTCGAGATGCTGAGGTCCCCAATAGTTTCCTTCTGTGTGGAGAAGAGAAAAGGCAGTGTGGACACTATTAGATCACGGCTGGTCGCGATCCAGCATTTGACATCGAAACAAAAAAGCTTCAGTTTTGTGCCCTTTTTCGTGGTGCATAATTGCCCTTTCTGCTCACCACGCTTGCTCGCCTGTAGTGCCCCTCCGACTTGTCAAAGTCGATGGGGAAGTCGTCCAGGGACCAGGTGAAGGTCAGGTCCATAGTTGGGTCATGGGATGCGTGACACTGGAGAGTCAGGTTTGCACCTACGTTGATGTCAGCACTAGATGGTGCCAGGGTGATCTTGGTGGCATCTGCAGAGAGAAGAAAATAAAACACAGTGAGGGGCAGTTAGCACACAGCAGATTTGTATTAATTCTTCAGAGAATCCAAATCAACTCTCTAACTTCTCATCACTCTCTAGCAGGAACCATCTGTAGTTTTACAGGAGGGAGATAAGGGATTACACTGGATGGTAAAAGGAAAAACTTTCCCCCAGCACCAGATGTAGGAAAGGAATGGCCGGTCAGGTAGAAGAACTGTTGTCCTGTAGGCTGAAATGACTCAGATTCCTGAGTACTGCATTACTTTATGAGGAGAGGAAAATACGTTTCTCTTCACGCCATGGCATTCTTTTTTTTGCGTGATTGACCCCAAAGCAAGGCCAGCATCCCTACCTCGCACAGAGAGGATTCCAGTGCTGTTGGCTTTGCCCATGAAATTCTCAGCGAAGCAGGTATACTTTCCCTCATCAGATTTGCTGATATTCTGCAGGATCAAAGTGCCATCTGTGGTAATAGTCACCCTGGAAAGGAAGAAGAGCCACAACAAGAAGGAAGGTTAAAATCTCCCTTCGCTCTGTCTGCCTGACAAGCACTTGTCAGTTCTTGCTGATCTTAGAGAAATTGGTGATAAAGATAGGACTGCAAGATGTTATGTAAGAGTCCTTAGAGGAGAAGCCAGGGGAATAGCAAAGTGTGTGTGTTCAGGGGTGTAGCACACACTTGTGGCAAGAAAAGAGGTGGTTTCAGCTATTTTTTCTAGGGAGAAGCTGGCTTTGCGCTGCTACCTGCTGCTGTTGGTGAGCAGTTCGGTCCCTTTGGTCCAGAGCACGGTGGCTTTTGGTGCTGCTCGTGGCTGGCACGGGATGATGACCTTCCCGCTTCGGGCTGCAGGGATGAGCCGCTTCACTGGGTTTAGTCTAAAATCGGGTGCTAAGGCTATGGAAGAAAAAGAGGGTTAAGGGCTGCTTAGAAAATGCTGCTATATGAACATTTTAACTGTGCTTTAGCTAGATATTCATTTGTTGCCAGATGACTCAGTAATAGAAGCGTGGCAATATCTGGGTGAGCAAGATGGAGTGAGTCCTCTGCTGCCAAGTGCTGCGTGGTTTCTAGTGCTTGCCAAGGCGTATGACACGTGTGTCATACTTAGCAATGGTGACATGACCCTAACAAGTGCAAGGTCTTTGAGAGACACAAGAACAGCTGCTTTTGAAAATGTAGAGGATATTCCCTTCCATATCCTGACCACAGGATGCAAGTGCAGATGGCCAGCCCACCTAAAGCTCCTCCAGGGATTATGGAGAACCAATAGGGCTCGATGGCCTCATGCATTGCAATGTGCTGCTGTTGGGCAGTAGCTTAGAGCTTTTCCTTCATCTCTAACGTCCACTGACCCACAGGAGATAAACTGTTGGACTAATGAGTGTAATGAGCCCCAGCCTGGTTGCAGTCACCATCCCTCATAGCTGAATGGCTCCTCAACTCTTCTCTGGACAATTTCCTCCAAAAAGAAGAGGTTGTTTAGTCCAAGGCTGGCTGTCCTGTATGCTTTCTATAGCTAAAACAGATGTCCTTGTGCTCTCCCGGCATAGCTGAATTGACACAATATTCAAAAATTGACACAATATTCACATTTTAGAAGCGTGGTAGAGAGCTTTGCTGCACCAGCAACTATATTTCAATGGTGAGTGAAGCAGTTTTTGTCTGCTTTTATCATACTCTGATATGACGAGCGTAGTATCTCAAGAAGAGAAACAAAATGCTTCAGTGTCCCATTGAAACCCAGAGCACTGGGAAACGAGCAGTTACCTTGCACTGTTAATTCAGCACTTGCATATATTGTGCCATGCTTGTTCTCAGCCACACACTGATACATGCCAGAGTCCTCCAGGACTAGCTTGGAAAATCTCAGCTCTCCACCGCTCACTTCGATGCGGTTCTGTGCAAACAAGAGGATCAACTCATTAGATGAGGATAACAAAAATGGAACTCAAGCCTTGGGCATTCAGGGTTGAGTTTCATCGCAGACTCTTAAGCCAGTTTGAAGAGACTTTTACAGACTCTTATGCCATGTTTTTGGGGGGTTTTCTGCATATCCAGGCCACCCCACATCACTGTGCTCTGTTTGCTGAGACTTCTGAGTGCATGAGCAGTAACATCACAGAGACAGGCACAAGGTAAAGTTTTTTCTGTCCTGCTAATTGATTATTGGTCCCCATAGCTGCATGGAAAACAATGACTGGATGGCAGCGATGGGAGGAGGAATTTGCTTTGCAGCCTCATGGGGGAATGTGGGATAGAAATGGGGGGTCGTAAGACAGGGCTGAGATGAGCTTGAGGCAGATCCAGGGCCGGAGCGGGGGGTCCATCCCGCGGAGCCCCCGTGTCCCGGGGCTCCCCGCGCGCGGGGCCTCCCTGCGTCATCCCCGCGCGGGCACGGGGACATTCCCCGCGTCATCCCCGCACGGGCACGGGGATGCTCCCTGCGTCATCCCCGCGCGGGCATGTTCCGCTGTCACAGCGTGGTTCCCCATAGGAACAGCCTTTGCCTTTCGTGCAGCCAGGCAAGGCTGGGTCCTCTGTGGGCTGGGCTTGTGGACTGCGCAAAGTTATGCCAGAAGGCAGAATTAAGGAAGAATATTAAGTTTTCTCTTTATAGACTAAATGCAGTCAGCCCTGAACTTTGAGACAGATTGGAGGTGGGCTAGAAGAACCAGATTAAGTTTGCTGCTTGACTATGTCTGATTATTAGCACCAAGCATTAACCCTTGAGCAGGTACCCTAAGCTTGGAGAAGATCTCAGTCAAGAGCAAAATGTGATTCTTACCACTGCGTTTCCATCTGTCTTTTTTATTTTTGCTTTGGGGCAAGTTAGGAGGACTCTCTACCCTTGCCACAGCCTCCTCCATGGAGGAGAGACGTCAGGGATGTGCACAGCTCGGTGTTGGGTCTGACAGGGGCTGATCCGAGGCAGAAGCAGAGGTGGCTCCAGGCTCCCGAAGGCCCCGCGCGCTGCCCGGGCCCCCTCGCCGCTCAGCCCGGGTCAAACGTGTTACCTTGGATGATCACGCGGCCTTGGTGGGTGACCCTCCCTTTGGCGTTCTCAGCCTCGCACTCGTAAGTGCCTTCGTCCTCGAAGCCCACGTCCTGGATCTGCAGGAGGGGCTCGCTGGAGATCCACTTGGAGGGCTGTGAGCCGTCCACCTTCCTCCACTTGATCCGGGGCACGGGGCTAGTAAAGAGAAAGGAGATGAAGCCCCGCTCTGGGGCAGACACCCCATCCTGTGCCTTGGATTTAGTCCAAGCCCTGTTTAGCCCCCCTGCTCCCACCCCAGCTGGGCTTTGGCTTGCAAGACAAGTTGCTTCTGCCGCTTCGTTCCTCCTCCTTTCCCTGCTCTGTCTCTTGTCTACAGTAGGATGAGTTAAGGGTCGCCCTCCCGCTGAGCCTGGATGACACAGACACGGGACTCACTTTCCAAAGGCAAAGCACTCCAGAGTCACCATCTGCCCCGCCAGCGCGTAGGTGTCTGCGGGAAACCTGGCTTTCATGGTGGGTCCGTGCTGCCTGGCATCTGCGGAAAGGAAACCACCGTTAGGGAGTTCTGGGCGACTTCATGGATGTGGGGACTTAAAGCACAAAAGTACCTGCAAGGGTTCGCTGCTTTGCAAAACCTTCATGGGTCTGGATAATTCGTAGGAGGGGAGAGGCTAAGTTTGTATTTTCCTTTTAAAAGAGCCCTTACTGAAGTGTCTAAACCTCTCTTTTTAACATCTCAGAACTGTTTATCCTCAATTTCCGACCTGCTCGACACCTTTCGCCCTGCCCAAGGATTCTTTGGTGCCCCTCTGCAAGGACACCAGCGTCCGAGAGGGTAAGTCGAGCCTGGCCAGGCTCTTCCTGGGATCTGTCTCTCTCCTAAGCGCCCAGAAGCTTCCTGGGAGGAGAGCTGGTTCCCCCACCCTCCAGCCAATTAATATTTTTGTGAGCTCTTAAATTCCACGGAGAGGGGCTGGTGGGTGGTTTGTGCAGGGCTTTGAGGTGCCTCGTTCATTCTGCGTTTGTCCCCTTGCCCTAATCTCCAAGTACTGACCGTCTGCGGCAAGGCTGAGGCGGGAGAACTTGCTGAAGACGCTCTTGGTGATGAAGTCAATGTGGCTGGTGGCAAAGCACGAGTAGTTGCCTAGGTCCGAAGCCTCTGTCTTGGCAATGTAAAGGTTTCCTGTTGTCTGAGAGACAAAGCGCCTTCCATCCGCAGGGATGAAGTTGGGAAACTCGTTCAGAAGCCATCGATAGGACAGGCCTATGTGGAAAAGAAAAAGGAATGAATTACACAAAATACTGAGCTGCCTGTGTCCTCTCAACCTGGATTAAGGCAAGCAGACAACTTCCTAGACCGGTGTAAGCCTGAGTTGTTCATCAGAGTTGATTTCTGCATGCGCTAGGGCCTTTTTCTTCTCTGGGAATCACGTTCCCCATCCCTCCTGCTGTCCCTGCTGGTCCCTGCCTGCTCCCGAGCTGCAGACGCTCACCTGGGTAATGGGGAGGAGGGCTGCAGGTGAACATCACCCCGGAGCCTTCCGGGATCTTCACC